TAAAATAGCATCCTATAAACTTTTATTTAATTTATATTTTGCGCTTTCGATAATCGATAGTTAATGCCCTCTATAGGTAGAAGATTGTGGTTCCGGTTCTATCTCTTTCGTTGACAGACGGTTGGACAGGATGGTGAGTTTTGTCTTTTGCAATGTTTAATCTCTAGTTATTGTTAGAATCCTACACAAAATACGTAAATTTCTATGAAAAAAAAGAGAGAACAGTTATCTATGTAGACAATTATACTGATATTTTATAACTTTTCTGAGGATATTTTATAGTTGCGTATTACTTGTCTATTGAATGTTTTGCTTACAACTTTTCGATAAGTCTAATATAATATGTGATTGTTTAGTCAGTAGTTTTTATTACTGTATTTTTCATACTTTTAAGTTACTTTCTATTATGGGTGGGAATAAATTTTTGTACTATTAAGGTTGTAAGTTAAAACGTTATGTGTTTGTAGGTTAACTCGTGTGTTAACCTTAGTACATGAGATTTTGATATGAGTTTTTGCTATAAATGTTTCAAATTTATGTTGCAGTCGCTCGTAATTCCAGAGAAGTTTCAACACATTCTTCGTGTCATGGGCACGAACATTGACGGTAACAGAAAAGTCATGTTTGCTATGACAGCAATTAAAGGTGTTGGTCGTCGTTATGCCAACATCGTTTTGAAAAAGGCTGATATCGATTTAGACAAACGTGCTGGAGAATGTTCAGAAGAAGAAGTAAGTACTAATTTAAAAATAATTGAAAATTTCTGAGTGATATAATAGTCAGTTGGATTTTTACCATGTGTTATACTTCATATAACCATTTTTGTTATAAGGTTGAAAAAATTGTTACTATTATGGGTAACCCTAGACAGTACAAGATCCCTGATTGGTTCTTGAATAGGCAAAAGGATATTGTAGATGGCAAATATTCACAGGTGTGTATAAGTTATTATGAGACACAGACATAGTTTTGCAAGTTATGAAAGTCGAAGAAAACTTCTGTAGCTATATGAAGCACAACTTAACGACTGATCATATGTTCTTAGTGTATAGATTAGTTGGTAGGTTGTGCAAAAGAAACTGCATGCTAGATTGCTATTTAATATTTAAGTTAGATAGTATATTAAAAGTTAATCTGTTAACATGCAACATATAAGTCTCAATAATATTATAGTTTCTGATGTTGCTTTTTTTTAGAAACTTTCACAATACAAAGATTGCATTGTATTTTATAGCTCACCAGTTCATACCTGGATTCAAAACTTCGTGAGGATTTGGAAAGGATGAAGAAAATTCGTGCTCACAGAGGTTTGCGTCACTACTGGGGTCTCCGTGTACGTGGTCAACACACAAAGACCACGGGACGTCGTGGACGTACAGTGGGTGTATCGAAAAAGAAGTAATTTTATATTATCTTGGTTATCAATAAATTCATAAAACAATTTTTTATGGGTTTCGTTTTCAAAATGAACGGTGTTTATTTTAGGGGATATATTTTATTTATTATAGACAATATTAACATTTAACATGATATTAGTATTTATAGAACACAGTTTTTCTTAACAGCGGTTCGTTTACGATTACGGAAAAATTTCCTTAATAATTAGGATTTTTATATTTTCAAAATTGACTGCTTATTATTTGATATGCAATATATGAGTATTTAATTTCTCTGTACACTTTTTTGCATATCATATATATATATATATATGTTTAAAACAGAAAAATATATACTCCAAAAGTATGATTTGATAACTACTAATCACACTTTAGGAATTAAGATATTTCTGGAATATATTGCACAAACAAGAAAAAATATTCTATAGTGCATAAGGCAGTTTCAGTTTAAATTGAAAATAGAGGGAAACATTCAAATGCTGTGGAATGTGTGTTAAGGATAACTATTGACTAAGTTTTCATTGACAAACAATAAGCATTTCTAAATATGCTTTGGGTACCTTTCCTTGTTGATTTCCTCTGACACCCATAACGTAGTCTTCATCACCAGATATTTCAATAACAGAGATTACCTAAAAGATAGTTGAATTTTGTCAAATCTTATGATGCATTAATAAATCTATTCGAAATAAAATTCAGCAAGATTTCAAAATAATGAAAGAGAAGCTGAAAATATGTTTGAGGTCATAATTAAATAAAATACATTTAACAGAATGAAATGACAATTTATTTAATACATGCAAACTTTGAATAAATGTAAATGTGTTTTTTATATGCATATGCATAACAATAATTTTTTTTATATCTAAACAAATATACAGACAAACCAGAACAGTTGTGTATATTAAACACCAAGAATAAATTTAACAAAAGTAGGAAAACTAATATACATTTACAAAAAACTTACAATTAAGAAATACAGATATCAT